CTCATCTTCTCTGAGAAGGAGAGCCTCTTCTATAACGTCACGGTTGCCTCGAACAAAACAAGTTTCATATCAAAACAAATTGAATTAATTTTCTAAATAAAGTTTTGTTCAGAATGAATCTCTTATTTAGGTTTCTCGTTAATTTTCTATTTTCTAAAATTCTTAATTTTGGTTTAATATATTTGAGAATTGCTAGAAAATTTGAAAACCAAAGGTTCGTAGTATGGGAATCAAATTTGCAGGTTGGAGGTGTGAGATATTTAGCTTCAATTATGTACGGAGAGGGTGAGTTCATAAAAAATCTAGGCATATTTGTCGATTTGTCTCCTAAACTTGTATAGAGATGCCAATTTTCCTTCTGAACTTTAATTTTAGCTGATTATCCTCTTGAAATTTTATAATTAGCCAATTTCCCCCCTTGAACTTTAATTTTAGCCGATTATCCCCTGAACTTTTATAAATAGTCAATTTCCACTGCGTTAGATTTTAAAGTTTACATCCAATTTTCCATTTATCTTGATCACGGAAACAATACATGACAACTATATGAGGGCAAAAATGATGAAAAATTGGATGGATGAAAAATTGAATGAAAGTTTTTAAAATCTAATGTCAAGGAGGTAATCGGCTAAAATAAAAGTTCAAGGAGATAATCGGCTAAAATAAAAGTTCAATGAGGAAATTGGCTAATTTAAAAAGTTTAAAGGGTAATCAGCTAAAATTAAAGTTCAGGACAAAATTGACAGCTGCATACAAGTTCAAGGGACAAATCAACAAATATCTCAAAAATCTAACTGCACGATAGATCTCTCTCTTTTTTTTTTTTTTTTTTTTGGTTGTTGTTGAGGATTTCTGGTTTCTTTGGTTGTGGATGAGGTATCAGCTATTGTACTCAAGCTCGGTTCCCACACTTGCAAATGCGCCCAAGGCCGTTTCTCTTCGGTATTTGCTTACGCTCAATTTTTACTACAATTGTTCATAGTTGCAGTCACATTTAGAGTTGTCAGAGGCAAGAGCTATCATACAGGCAACAGAGGTGTGAGATAATTAGCAAGAAAGGAAGAAAACGGCGAGGGTGTTGCGAGCGCTTTGGGTTGTTTTTTTTTTTTTTTTTTCACTTGTCCTTATCATTAAATAAAATTATTATATGATTTTTTTGATAAAATGCAAAATTTTAAATTATTAAATTATTTTTTATTTTGTTTAATAGCTTTTGAGTTTCTTTTTTCTTGAATTTGCGAGTATTTACTAATTTATTAGAATTTTTTTTTTAATAAACGAACTAATTTATTAGAGTTGATATGCATTGAGAAATTATCAAGTCCCCATAGCAAGACTGTGCCTTGGTTTCTTGTTTTTAGTTTTTTTAAGAGAATTTTAACAAAAAGCATCTGGTATTATTTACTTTAATGAAAAATCATATTTTTACACTAAAAAGTCAATCATGCTACTATTCATTTTACCCTTTTGTTTGTCCTTATCGTTAAAACTCAAAGTTTTCAATTCTTTTTCATTAGTTTTCCTTTTTTAAAACGGTATTGGTCTTCCATCACAAAACAATCAGAATAATAAAAAGAATTAAGGAAAATGGTGTTAATGCTGATGCTGATGCTGATGACCATGGTATTTTTCTGGATTATTCTACTGGTTTAGTCCTTCCACATCCAATAATTAAAAGGGTTATTATCCAAAATGGTCCTTGAGATTTGCATGATCAATAGAAATGGTCTCTGAAATTGAAAATCAATAGAAACGGTCTCTGAGATTGTCCACCATCCATGATTTTGGTCCTTCCGTTAAAAACGATTTTGGGCAATTTTCAAAGCTTTGTAACTCAATCGTTTCTTAACCAAATTCGACCCATAATATATCAAAATAAAGATAGGAAAGTGTAGAATAAGATTATACCTATTTGGAAACCCAATGGTTGCCGGAGATGGCTGGAAAATAGTCTGAAAGGTGACTAATCCGCGGGAAAACTGGAAAACTCGCCGGAAACCAGGAAAACTTTAAATGTTCATAACTTCTTCAATACTCAACCAAATCGAGTGATTCAAAAATGAAAATAATACTTCTTGACGAGACGAAGAGAATGATACCTTTTTCAAAGGCTAGCTCATTGTGGTTTGGTCGGACAACAGCTCGAAAGTGGCTAACCATTTTCGAGTTAGTCACTTTCGAGCAGTTTTCCGGCATAGCCACATCAATTTAGCAATAAAGAAAGATACCATTCTCTTCATGTCGAGAAGTATGATATTCATTTTTGAATCACTCGATTTTGTTGAGTATTGAAGAAGTTATGGACGTTTAAAGTTTACCCAGTTTCCAGCGAGTTTTCCAGTTTTCACACAGACCAATCACCTTTCAGGCTATTTTCTGGCCATTTTCGACAACCATTGGGCTTTCAAATGGTATAATCTTGTTCTACACTTTCTTATCTTCATTTTGATATATTATGGGTTGAATTTGGTTAAGAATCGATTGAGTTACGAAGCTTTGAAAATTGCCCAAACAGTTTTTAACGGAAGGACCAAAATCATGAATGGTAGACAATCTCAAGTACCATTTCTATTGATTTTCAATCTCAGGGACCACTTCTATTGATCATGCAAATCTCAGAGACCATTTTGGATAATAACCCTAATTAAAATCAAGTTGTCTATTTCAAATTTTTAACAAGCATACCAAAATATATGTAGAGTATTATGATATAAGATTGATATGGTATGATTTCAACCTTAACATTTTTTTTTTAGTACATCGATTAAAGTACGGGAAAAAGGAGTTTGACTAAGTCTGGACAGCCTAATTTCAACCTTAACTTGCATTATATTGTTTTAAATTTTTGTAGTCCACACCACAACTACCTGATTTTTTATGCAAATTATAAATCATTTTCCAATTTGAAAAACCACAGAGAACCGTGTACACGCTTGACATGGATTGCTTCTGTACGGACTTTAATGTTTTCAGTCAGTCAATAGCCAAGAAAATGGATTGGTTGATGAGGCCATTCATTCTGTTGCCTGATGACGCATTTACTAATCCGTTGTTCATGGAAATGAAAAGTCATTGAGATCATTTGTTGTTCATGGAAAATGCTTAATTCCATTCCCTTCTTGTCCTTCCTGGTTTTTTGTTAATCTTACTGAACTTGAAGATTACAGCTGATACCATAATCTTTAACCAGTCTGTCAATGATTCTCCGATAACTTCGTCGGGTGGAAGATTTGAACTAGGTTTCTGTTCTCCGCCGGGAAACTCCAGGAACAGGTACTTGGGAATACGGTACAAGAACATACCTAGCAAAGTTGTGTGGACTGCAAGCAGAAACAGTCCACTTACTGATTTCTATGGGAAACTCGCGATTGATACCGATGGAAATCTTGTTCTTCTGAATCAAAATGCAAGTAGTATTTGGTCTTCAAATGTATCAACAACACCAAAAAGTCGAGTTGCGCAGCTCTTAGATTCCGGAAATCTTGTTTTGATGGACAATACAGGTACAAGTAGTGTTGCAAATTATTTGTGGCAGAGTTTTGATAATCCATGTGACACATTGTTACTAGATATGAAGATGAGCTGGAACATGAACACCAGATTAAGGCGACATTTGACATCATAGAAAAGCATTCATGATCCATCCACTAGCGAGTTCTCATATAAATTGACAGTGAAGTGGTTACCACAACTAGTTACCGAACAGGGCCATGGAATGGAGTTCGATTCAGTGGTCTTCCTGCCCCAGCCGACTCAGTGTTCAATACAGTAATGGAATTGCATGAAGATGAGTAGTATTACAAGTTTGAGGCTAATAAGAATGTGGTTGCCTCACAATTAAGGATAGATCAGTCCAGTTCTTTGCAATTCCTTGTGTTGAATGCCGGGAGCACAGAATGGGATGTTATGATTTCGTTACCAGATGATCCATGTGACAATTATGGATACTGTGGTGCTAATGCTATTTGTAGAAACAGGTATCCCATATGCGTGTGTTTGCAAGGGTTCACTCCAAGGTTTCAAGAAGAATGGGAAATGTTTAATGGAACCAGTGGATGCATGAGAAGGACACCGTTGGATTGCCACAGCAGAGAGGGATTTTTACTGCTTGAAGGGGGTGAAATTGCACGGCATGTTAGAATTTTCACTCAATGAGAGTATGAATCTCGAGGAATGTATGATGTGCTTAAAAAATTGTTTGTGTACAGATTATGCAAATTCAAATATTAGGGGATGCGAGACGCGCCTTAACAGTATCATGGGAATAGCAAGGATCTCAAAGCAGGCATTATTTTGTAATGTCAAAAAAGCCAATTCAAAGACTGAAAAATAACTCGATAGCGCTGTATGTATCTGCTATCTTCTCTGCAATTTTTCGCTTTGACAAATATTCTCTCCAAATTTCAAACTAACCAGCTGGCATTCCTTTCTGGTGCCGGCACCTTGTGGGACAAGGGATTTTGACGGCCAAGAGCTTGCAGCGGGCATGACAGTTGTACGTGTCAAGCAACATGGCCTGGAAGGAGAAACACATCATCTATGTGCGATGCGAAGGGTTCCCTACTGTGAGCGAACCGGGAGGCTTTGGAAGATTTGTCAATTATCAACAACTTGGAGTAGGAGTTGGTTGGAGACTCATACTAGGTTACTATTGATTCAAGGGTCGCTTTCACTTCACATCGTTGACATTGAAATGCTAGTAATCAATCTTGATGTGCCAGGAAGCCTCATAGGGACGGGCTGCAATACACCAAAGATTCTATTACTTCCCCACTTAATTACCTGTGGAATCAATAAGTGCATGATTTTTATGCAAAAGACCTCAATCCAATAAGACGCGAAAACATTTAAAATTTGTAATTTTTAGCAAGCACGTGTGAACAATTCTAGATTTATCAACTATCATTCTCGAAAGAATTGTTCAAAGTGGAATAGCATGGAAAATGACACAAAAGTCAAAATCCTCCAAAGATAATACTTGTCGAGGAGAGAAGGTGGCTGCAAACTCCAAACATAAGGTCCAACATTCCCATTTGCTTGCCAAACGACACAGAATGAAGCCCTTTCCTTTCATCCTCCTTACCTCTCTACTCCATTTTCTACTATTACAATTCTCCACAGCAGCTGATACCATTTCTCCATCAGAATCCATCACCGTCACGAATACCTTGGTTTCTTCCGGCACAAGCTTCCAATTAGGCCTCTTCTTTGCTGGCAGTTTACGGTATTTAGGAATATGGTACAAGAACTTTCCAGATACTGTTGTATGGGTGGCCAACAGAGAAAAGCCTCTTGCAGATTCAAATGGATCCTTGATATTATCGAAAAACGGAAGCCTGATCCTCTTAGACAAAATGAACAACACTCTTTGGTCGTCCAATTCTTCCCGAGCAGCAGAAGATCCTGTTGCGCAGCTTTTGGAGACCGGAAATCTTGTTGTTAGAGACAAGGCCGCAACTGATTCAGAAGATTATGTATGGCAAAGTTTTGATTTCCCCACGGACACTTTGTTGCCGGAAATGAAGTTGGGGTGGAATTTCGGAACCGGCCTCAACAGATTCTTGACTTCTTGGAAAAATGCTAGCGACCCTTCTCCTGGAGAATATACTTATGGGATGGATCGTGTTTTGTTGCCTCAGCTTGTTATTTCAAAAGGATCGAAGAAAAAGTTTCGTACTGGACCTTGGAACGGTATCCGAATCACAGGTACTCCTTTTCCAGCCCTTTCGTTCGGAGGGGTTGTGCATCCATATTTTGTGTATAATTCCAATGAGTTATACTATGCATATGGGGCTGTCAGTAATTCTACCATCACAAGGTTAAAGCTTACTGAATCGGGCGAGATCCAGCGGTTACTTGTCAATAACGGAAGCACTGAATGGGCTGTTATGTATACTTTGCGGAACGATGAGTGCAGTAATTATGGACAATGTGGAGCAAATGGCTTTTGCAAGATTAACAAATCACCCATTTGTGACTGCTTGCCGGGGTTTTTTCCGACATCAACGAGCGAATGGGGGGTGCTTAATTGGACTCGTGGGTGCAGGAGGGAGACCCCACTGAATTGTTCGAAGGGAGAAGGATTTCTGAAAATTGAAAATGTGAAACTTCCGGACCAATTGGATTTTTGGGTCAAGAATAGCACTACCACCAGAGAATGCAAGGCAGAGTGCTTGACGAATTGTTCTTGTGTAGCTTATGCTAACTCAGATATCAAAAATAAAAGCAGTCTCTGTCTGATGTGGTTCGGCGACCTAATTGATCTGCGCGAGTTCATTGAAGAAGATAGTGATCAAGAGCAAGATATATATATTCGGGTGCCATGTAAGTCGGTCTTTGCTTTATTTCTTTTGAATTATGTTGCAGGGATCAAATTGAATAGGTCAAAATCGGGTAATTTTGTTATGATTCAATATTTTATGGCCTAGACTCATGAAGAAGTGCTGAAATCAGAATATTGAAATGTTGGTTTAACGATTTGATATTATCTTGTATATGACCTTCAGGGAAAACGAGTGGGAAGAATGATAAAAAAGTAGTACTCATTTCAGTCATAGCAGCCGTTTGTTTGCTACTTTTTCTCGGTTTGGCTTTGTTTTCCTGGTGTATAATTCTGAAGAGGAGAAGAAATAAAAGAGGTAAGTTAAAATGCATATGCGCCCTGCTGTTATATTTGTGGACACATTATATCGAAAAAAGATGCTTCAATATATTGTGCCCTGTGAAAGACTATACTGAGAATGATCATGCTCATGCCCCGTGACGTTTCTAGGAACCATTATATGCTGGAGGAAACTCTTATGCATTGACAAAGACATTGTGTTTGAATACTTGTGTGTCCTTCACATTCTTCTCATTGTTCTTTTTAACTTTCTGGTTTTTCATTTTACAGCTTTAAGAGACAGTGAGGAGAACTTGGAGTTGCCACTGTTTGATTTTGATACAATTGCAGCCGCCACCAATCACTTCTCCCACACAAACAAGCTAGGAGAGGGAGGTTTTGGTTCGGTTTACAAGGTAACAAAACGATACTTGACGCTGATATTTTCTACGAATTTAAGCTAATAGACAAAATTTTCAGGCCAAGTTAACCCAAGAAGAATTCATTGCTGTAAAAAGACTCTCAAAAGATTCTGGCCAAGGAATTGAAGAGTTTAAGAACGAAGTTGCGATGATAGCCAATCTTCAACATTGGAATCTTGTTAAACTTTTGGGCTGCTGCATCGAAGGAGATGAAAGGATGCTGATTTATGAGTACATGCCCAACAAAAGCTTGGATTGCTTCATTTTCGGTTTGAGATTCTGTGCTTCATCTTCAAGAATTGTTAATATTTATTTAGTTCAATTTATCATTAAGTTGAGTCCTTTGCAGCTCTGTTTATGTCATTCAAAGTTGACTAATATGGGGGATGACTTGTGCAGATCAAAATAGAAAGGTGTTGTTGAACTGGAAAAAGCGATTCGACATTATCATGGGAATCGCACGAGGACTTCTCTACCTCCACCAAGACTCTAGACTAAGAATCATTCATAGGGACCTTAAGAGCAGCAACATCTTACTTGACGATGAGTTGAACCCCAAAATATCTGACTTTGGCATAGCAAGGATTTTCGAACGCAATCAAACTGAAGCAAAAACAAAACGCGTAATTGGGACATAGTAAGTTATACCAACACATGTCATGCATGAATTTCTTCCTTTCTAGTTATAAACTACCGACATTGTCTTGTTTGCATGCAGCGGATATATGTCTCCTGAGTACGCAATTGACGGGAAGTTTTCAGTGAAATCTGATGTCTTCAGTTTTGGAGTTCTTTTGTTGGAGATAATTTGTGGCAGAAAGAACAGAGGGTTTCACCATCCAGATCACGATCACAATCTTCTTGGACATGTAAGTATTACATGCATCTGTGGGTTTTCCAAATGTTGAGCGCCATAGACTATAGTTTTCAATGAGTATGTACTAAAGATAGATAATTTTGCAACTGAACCAGGCATGGTTACTATGGAATAAAAGCAAGTGTTCGGAACTAATAGATCAATGCTTAGAGTACTCGTACGTTGAGTTTGAGGTGCAAAGATGCATTCAAGTAGGTCTATTATGTGTTCAAAAGCTTCCAGTAGACAGACCGGCAATGTCATCAGTGGTGTTCATGTTAGGCAATGAGGGAGCGCCATTGCCCCAACCGAAGGAGCCTGGTTTCTTTAGTGAAAGAAGCTCCGAGGACGTCGATACCTTAGTCAACGAAGGTAGAAGCCAGACGGGAAGCTCAATTACCATTACCACGGTGGTAGCTAGATAACCAACATATATATGGATTCACTGGTCCGATTTTCACACATTCGACATGGCGGATACTATGTATATTTTTATACCAAGAGACACAGAAAGAGATTGGCCTCAATATATGGGAAGGCGGATTGAGAAATGTTAAAAAAACATATAAAATTATTTATACATAGATTAACTGAGTGTGTGTTAGCTACAATATATCTCATTAGTACAAGTAAATAAAACATTGTATGTGTAGGTTATGAAACTAGTTCGTTTCTTCTTTTTATTTTCAAATAACTAGTATATGTTCACATAAAGTGTGTGAAATTTTTTAACTTTTATTTTTAAAATTGAAGGAGGGATGAAGTGAGTGAGAGAAAATGTGGGAGTAGGGAGAGAAGTTTATTTTTTATTTTTTTTTAATTAAAGATGATTCTAGGTCAGATTTAAACAAAAAACAAAGAGACTTCATTAATATGTAGGTTAGATTAATAGATAGTAAGAGTAAGATCACCTTCAATTAGTTGGTCACACTCCTCATAAATTCGAAAAAATCTAAACACAATTGCATGATAAATAAGAAAACTCTCGAATCAAATGAAATGAGTGTAAGGATCGGATGTAACGAAACTATAAGGATTTCATGTCTTCATAAGAGCAACTCTACAATTGCAAAGGCCCCTAGGGCAAGTCACTATTGAATAGGCTTCAATGAACAATAAATGCCTTTTTTATCTCCATCCCTACACTAAATAGCTATGATAATAGGTAATAATATATTAATATTTTTTTATTTTATAAAATAATACAAAATAATTACTTGTGGGATTTCTTTTACTTTGACCCTGTTCCCTCACCTAGCCCTCTCTCTCATTTCCCTTACACTTTTTTTTTCTCTCTCTCTACTGACGCAACCCTTCCCCCTCATTTCTAAAACCTCTCTCTCTTCACAATAATTCCCTATCATTTCTTCACATTGTGAACTTGGAACTTGTATATTTGGACTCCTGGCAACTTTAGAACATAATTGGGTCCTTGCATGCACCATCGGTGCATTGGGAAGTGTAGTGATCCTAGACTCGAGAGCTTCATGCTCTGCTTGTAGTTTCAGGTGAGGTTTCCTTGTTCCTTTGCATATTTGGGATTTTCTTGTTGGTGTTGTGATTCCGAGTGAAGACTTAATGGTTAAATTTTGTTCTTTTCACTATGCATGCTTTATGTTTCGTTTTTCCAGAATCCGGCGAGAAAATCCAGTGAGCTCCGTGACCAAACCCGGCCAATCTCGACCACGGTTGTTACTCACAGTGGTAGAATCTTGTTCCTTTTCATTTTAGCATCATTTTTGTGCTTAAATTACAATTTTTAATGGAGTTTTAAGTCGAGATTGGAATCAGGATGAGATCCCTGCCAAATATTCCTATGTTCTCCCTCGAGGGGTCCGGTGATCCATGTTTTAAATCATAGCTGACGTTAGCCTTGCATCATCTCCGCCTCGGCTCTCAGGCCAACGATTCATGCCGGACTTGTCGCTCGAGCCCACTTCTGATGCTGAAGCCTGCATGGGCCCAACGATTTGATCATGTTCTGTCCACAATCCATCGAACTAAAAGCCCCGCTAGACTTACTCTAAACTATCGTGGTCTGAGTGCCGCGGCACAAGTTTTCTTTTCCCCAAAAATTCATGTTATTTTGGTTGAGGTTGATTTCAATGTGCAAGTATTTCTTTGCTATGGTCAAAAGTCCAAGTTTGACAGGGTGATGAATTAGGACGTTTTCGAAAATAATTTCTGATCCAAAAGCCACTTAACAGAAATGCTAGCTAGTCAACTTCGTGTGCAAGAGAAAACGAGGTGTTTGAATGCATAATTGAAGATACGAAATGACATCCCAACCATCCTTCACGTTATGCAATTTTTTTTCTGCTAATTGTGTCACCCAACTAACATCAAATTATGGAATATGTGTGTTAAAAAATTAATAACTTAAAATATAAAATTTCTCATAATTTACATAAAAACACATAGTGTACCACTCGTATTCCCGTCAAAATAAAAAATTTCTCATGGATATGTTCATTAGCAACTTCTTTCAATTTAGGATAATCATTTGTTTACAATGAATTCCCCATAATTAGGTATCAAATTTGTCGTCTATGTCAATTAAATTTGAAACTCTCACTTATAAATGGGAATAACATGCTACTAAATTGTAATGCTCATAACCCTAAGATCAACGTTAGAAAGGCAATATTAATGAAGAGAATATTGGAGCTCTCTTATGCACAGGGTCAATGATTTTTTTTTTTTGTTTTTTGTTTTTAGTTTTAAGGAGAGGCCAATGAAAATATAATAGAATCTTGATAATTTAATATCCAAAAAATTAATAGCTTCGGTTAAATAATACCTTTGGTTAGTTCCAACTTGAGCATAACGTGCTAAATTAATAATTCATTAAATTCATAACTAATACATTATAAAAAATTCGTATAAGTTATGCGTAATATATAAATTAATGATTCTCTAATTTCTTTACACCATTGAAACCAGAAACCATTGTTGTATATATGATGTGATGTGTTACTAACACCATTGAGATCATAAGTCATTGTTGTATATATAATATGATGTGTTACTAACTTACGATGGCTTTTGTTTATTTAAATAGAGTTTCTGCTAGCGTAAATGCGCATAAAATGAATAATGTAGTACATAGAATAATGTACAATCTATTTGTGGAAAAAAAAAAACAAAGTAGGTTCAGGAATTTTATTTGGTTGAACAAATACTTAAAATTGTTAGGTCGTAAAATAAAAAACTAAATACAATATACATTACTTAAAATTGTTAGTTAATTAATAACTTATTAATTTATAGAATATTTAACGCTCGCTAAATTAATAGATCTTCTTTAGTCTCAAGACTATCAATTTATAGAGATTTAACTGTAAATTTTAATCAGTGTTGCAGACCTACATCAGAGAAGATTTTTTATTTTTATTTTTTTTTATGTTGGAATGAAAATTGTTTCCCAGGACCTATGGTTTAAGGGACAATTTCAGGTAAACAGTTTTTATGGGTGTAGGCCTCCCAAAGATAGCGAAGGCACATTGGCAGAGCTACATAGAAGCCAGCACAGGCCTAGACCTATCCTGGAAATTCACAGTTTTATATGTACTATATGAAAATTTGAGAAATAATGAGCATGTGGTCAGTGGCTTTCGCAATTTCAAGTCACCTTGGTTCGAGACTCGTTGGTGTGGGCCACCAATATCTTTCAAAAAAAAAAAAATTAAACTGAAAGGAAAAAAAAAAAACCTTTATAATTTTGCTTTCTTTTTTACTATATATAATAACCGAACTCTTTTTTTTTAATTAGCCTTATTTTTTTAGAGAATTGTTAATGCCATTTCAAAAATCTCATTCTATATCCAAACTTTCTATATTTGGAAAGAAAAATACACTCGTGAGGAGTGTAGAATGAAACTTTTGGAGTACCAATAACACTTCTTTTTTTTTACCATATAAAAACTATATCCACTTTTTGGCTAGTTAATATAAACAAGGCCTATACAATTTAGAGCAAGAACTAATTTTAAGTCATGACTTAAAAAAAAAAATTCGAATCAAATGTGTTAACATTTTCTTTATCAAAGCTCATACAATTTTTTTGTTCTTATGATATAATTAATACAATACTAAAAAATTAAAGCTACACCAGTCTTGTTTCGATTAAAATTCTTTATACGGTCTAAAGGTCCATCCTAGTCTGAATTTCTAGTTCTACCACTGTAAAGGTGTGAAAAGGCTTTCGTGGGCTTAAATCTTTGTTAGAAAAAGAAATGTTCATTTATAGACGCAAACAAAAGCCATAAATTATCAGCAACACTATTTTTTGTCCCAACAAACATGACTCACAAATAAAACCAGTTTTTGTAGTATCTCGTTGTACTAATTTATTTCCCTAAAGAATAGAGAACATATTTATCAAAGGAAAAATATGCGAGAGTAGTTGTAGCACCACAAATCTGTTATTCCCCGCAAAGGAGAGATTTTTTTAGTGCGTTTGGAATAAGGGATATAACACTATATGCATTATTTAATTAGAGAGATACTTGAAAAAAATAAAATAAATAAAATAAAAATAATAAAAAAACTTTTCTTTAAATTTATAATGACACGTGATGTTTTATCCTATTTCGAGCATACTAACAATCTCTCTCAACGAGGACCGAAAATTTTTATTTTAATGATCATGACAGATGAGGTGGATCTTGCAGCATTAAAAGGGCACCGATATTTTAGGAAACAATCGCGACAACGTGAAATGATCAGCTTCGGGCTTGAGTTGGCAAAGAAGACCAACTCACACACCTTCAATTTTAAAGCCAGCCTAGCTTTTATGTGTGGTTCAACAAAACCCAAACTACAGACCCATGTGTTTACATTGTAGGGTACGGAATCATAACTTCAGCCTGTGTTTTAGCTCCAGCTAGCTGTATGTAAGCATTATAATAGTATGAGAAGTTTTTTAGCGTGTTAAGAGCATGATTCGATACATTAAGGGCTGGTTTGGTATTGCTGTGCTTTGAAAAAAAACTGCTTTTGCTATGATATGAGAATAAGCAGCTGTGAAATAAAGCAGCAGAGTATTTGGTAAACTTTTTTGTAAAAGTGCTTTTGAAAAAAAAAAAAAGCAGTATTAGAGTGTTTGGTAAACTTTTATGTAAAACAAATGTGAAAAAAAACTAGTTTTTTAAAGCTGGGTTTTGCAGCTTCTTGTTTTTGGTTTTTTTTCATGCAAAATTATGAAAAAAAACTGAAGCTACCAAACACAAAAACAGCTCCCAGCTTTTTTTGATACAGTTTTTTTCAGAATCACCTCAGTACCAAACCAGGTCTAAATGTATTAATATATTGGCCGAAATTTTTTTTCTTCAAGTTTTCAACTAAGTGTATTATGCACTTTGTGTATCAAACCGTGTTTCAGCATATTGAAAATGTCTTATAGTTGGATTATTATTGCCTTGTTCTTCCGCAAATGTAATAAAATTCAATCGTATCATTTTCAATCCTACCATCATCATTGACGCATTGACTTCGATGTTTACTATGCGGAGTAAGGTATGCTCGATACATAGTTTGTTGCAGTACAATGGACTTGTTCAAACTTTTTGAAGAATTGGTGCTGCAAACGACCCAACATTGATAAGATAAAAAAAATAAATTAGACTAAGTGCTAAATTTTAATGACTTGAGTTCAATTTCAAAATGCAACCAAAGAAAGTTTGCGTTCAAGAAACTTAAGACTTGTTTGACAATCATTTGCATTTTACTTCTAAATTTAGATTTTATTTATTTATTTATTTATCTTTTAGAAATGAGACGATGCATGAGAAAAAATAAAGGTAACAAATGGTAAGAGATAAATGGAATTATGCATGACATACATTCTCATTCATTTTCCTTCCTACCCACCACCTTTCTTCATCCCTTTTTTTCATATACTTTTACTCTATCTCGAGTCAAAACACATGCAACCAAATGTTGTTGAAAGCCATAGACAAGACAACATGCAATGCATGTTGTTAAAAGAAAGTGGCTTTTCACAACATGTGTTGGAATTGGGTGAAGTTTTGTCCGATGAAAAATTAAAGAAGACGGAGGATGTTTAGAGGCAAATACAAGATTCAATCTAAAACGAAGAATATAATCCTAATATGTAGCAAGAAATTACAAAATATAACCTCAAATGTAGCAAGAAATTGAAAGAGGTGGAGGATGCGTAGAAACCAATGCACTTAGTGCTGTAAGATCATGTGAGAGATGAAGGCTTTCGAATCAACTGTGAGATTGGAAAATACCATACTTCTATTTGAACTCTATAGAGGATATCATGGCTCCAAATCACCTTGTGATCCTAGGTCGCCATTTAAAAGTACATTTAACAAACTCAACCATCTCACCAGCCATACTCTGGTGAACCACCATATCGACCACACAATGGCTAATATCGACGACACGATGGCTAATTTGCCTAAAGCGAGAATACCAAACTTGCCTATGACGAGACCAAAACTCATACTATGTTTCTAGCTAGAGTTATTACAAACATGAGACTTGAGTAAAATAAAAAAACAAAAACAAAAAATTAGCACACATACCTCTACGCTAAATCCCCTAGGACTTAGAATCTCTTTCCAAACATATAGTCTTAAGAATAAGGTCCGTGTCCTCGAATTCTATTGAATAACTTAAATGGAGTACAAAATTAACATGACATCTCATACCAATAACTCAAAAACACGTAATAGTTTTATTTTATTTTTTTCTGCATGGCGTTGTATCATTACCATGGAACATCGTTAACATGTCTAATATATGTTGCTCTCTGAATCCTGACCTACCAAGCGTAGGATACCTTTAATTCTTGTCCTTGTTGCGTCCCTACCAAATGTTTCTTCTACTTCTAAGAAGTGAATTGAAGAAAAAAGTTTCTTGAATCTTTCATGTATCATCATGTATCTAAACCTTGACCTATACTAGTTTTTCTGCCTTAAGAGCTATGGAAATCTTTACAATGCTTTTCGTTTTATCATCTTTCCTCTTCTCTCCAAGCATCTCCGCTACAAAAGATATCATCACTCCGACAGTATCGCTCAGTGATGGAGAGTCCCTTGTTTCCTCCGGCGGAACATTCGAGCTAGGATTCTTTAGCCCAGGTAATTCGAAGAATCGATACGTTGGAATATGGTTCAATGGAATATCTCCTCAAATTGTTGTGTGGGTGGCCAACAGAGAAACTCCACTTACTGATCACTCTGGAGCTTTGAACATCACTGATGGAGGAGTTCTTGTTCTTTTCAGTGACAAAAATAGCAGTATATGGTCATCTAATTTCACTTCAAGAATCCTAAGGAGCCCGGTTGCTCAGCTCCTGGAATCCGGCAACCTTGTTGTGAAAGACGGAAATGATGACAACTCGGAGAGCACCCTTGTGTGGCAGAGTTTTGATTATCCAGGCAACACCTTACTACCAGGAATGAAGCTTGGATGGAACTCAGCGACAGGTATAAACAGGTTTTTGTCTTCGTGGAAAGCCGCAGAAGATCCATCTCCAGGTGAATTCTCGTATTCCATAGATCATGGCGGATACCCCCAACTAGTCCTACGGAAAGGTCGTGTTCCACACTATAGGTTGGGGTCTTGGAATGGCCTTGGTTTTACTGGGAGTCCTGAACTTACTCCTAATGAAGCATTTAAAATCGAATTTGTGTCCAATGATAGTGAGGCCTATTACAAATTCGACCTCATGAAAGATACGATGCATTCGAGATTGGTACTCAACCTGTCTGGTGGTTTGCAGCGGTTCTTGTGGATTGATAAAACACATAGCGGGAACATGATTTACTCCGCTCCAGCAGATCGTTGTGACACTTACGATTTGTGTGGTGCATTCGCTTTCTGCAAGCTTGATTCTGATCCTCTATGTTCATGCTTGCAAGGTTTTGTACCAAACTCTCCAAGAGACTGGACTTTGAAAAACACGTCTTCAGGATGTCTTCGTAAAGGTCCATCGGGTTGTACCAATCAAGATGAATTTCAGAAGTTCATACGGGTGAAATTGCCTGACACATCTTCGTCACGGATCAATAAAACCATGTCCCTTGAGGAATGTAAGAAAATGTGTTTGACAAACTGCTCTTGCACAGCATACGCAAATTTGGATGTTAGGGGAGGAGGAACTGGCTGTTTGCTTTGGTTCGGCAACCTCATTGATATAAAAGAATTCGACGCTGGTGGGCAAGATCTTTTTGTGCGGATACCCCCCTCCGAATTAGGTACTTATTTCTACTTGATTTCAAGCTTCATTACTCTCTGGTATTGTTAATAAGTTTTGTTGAGCACAAACGAATGTCGGCTTTAAGGATCTACCTAAATTATGTAGATACTTTGAGTTCTGGCACTTGTTTGATTTGAACTTAGTTGTAATAAAATGTTCATGATCGAAAATTGAATACTATCACCAATCTGCCTTGATCTTTCAGATGGCACTAAGACAAGCAAGCACTCTGGTGTAAAAAGGAAAGTGGCAATCATAGTCAGCTGTGGGGCGGTAGTCACGGGAGTGCTAATACTAGGATTGGTTTTCAACATACGGAAGAAGAAGTCGAAATCACGAGGTAGAAATTATTCAGTTAAAAGATTAGTCGTTATGGTCAAGCTTTTGATTGATTCTTCTACTGTCTCAGGAAACATGAAAAACATACGTGAAAAGAACTTTGGTTTCGAAGGTGGAAGCGAGGACATGGAGTTGATAACATTTGATTTGGCCACTGTATCTAGAGCCACTGATAACTTCTCAAACAATAACAAGCTGGGACAAGGTGGTTTCGGACCAGTGTACAAGGTACTAGAAAATGGTAAAATGTGATTAGAATGTGGTGCTCCCTTCAACAAATATATAAATCAACTTATCGAATGATGGTTTCTAGGGAATCCTGGAGGAAGGGCAAAATATAGCAGTGAAAAGGCTTTCGAAATGTTCTGGGCAAGGAATCAAAGAATTCATGAATGAAGTAGTATTAATCGCTAAACTTCAACACCGAAATCTTGTAAAGCTTCTTGGTTGCTGTATTGAAGGCGATGAAAAAATGTTGATCTATGAATATATGCCAAACAAAAGCTTGGACTACTTCATATTTGGTTTGACCCTCTATATATAAATTTCGTGAATTAATCTGTGTCTTGAGTCTTGTCATAATTTTGTTGTCGAATTAAGGGAAGATTCAACTAACATTTATGATTCATTGGTTAGACGATACAAGAAGTAAACTCCTCAATTGGGATCAGCGCATCAACATTATCGGAGGAATTGCTCGAGGACTTCTCTATCTTCATCAGGATTCTAGACTGAGGATCATCCATAGGGATCTCAAAACCAGTAACGTTTTACTAGATAAAGATATGAACCCAAAAATATCTGATTTTGGCACGGCTAGAGCATTCGGGGGAGATCAAACTGAGGAAAATACTAATCGAGTGGTTGGAACATAGTAGGTAGCTCGAAACTCGCTTTGTACATTGTATGCTTGTAAATGTGCTTGTAACTCTAGTTTCATTTTTAACAGTGGCTATATGTCTCCTGAGTACGTGGTCGATGGACTCTTCTCGGTCAAATCGGATGTTTATAGCTTCGGTGTGATGATGCTGGAGATACTTAGCGGGAAGAAGAACAGGGGATTTCATCATCCAGACCACCAGCTTAACCTTCTAGGACATGTAAGCTTAAGCAAAGATTGACTTTCCCAAGTTTAGTAAAATATTTGGATCGTATATGGAGAATCATCATATATAAATTTTGTGAATTAATTTCAGGCTTGGATGCTTTGGATTGAAGGAAGACCAACAGAAATAATGGATGAGAAGTTAGTTGGATCGTGTGCGCAACCAGAAGTGTCACGATGCATTCATATAGCTCTACTGTGTGTGCAGCAACAACCAGAAGATAGGCCAAACATGGCGTCTGTGGTCCTAATGTTGGGTGGGGAGGGTTCATTGCCTATACCCAAGCAACCTGGTTTCTTTACTGAAAGGAACTCGGTTGAAGCAAAGGCTTCTTCGCCAAGCAAGTACGAATCCCATTCCATAAATGAGATGAGTCTAACGCTGTTAGAAGCAAGGTTTTAAAAGGCAGGTGCTCCTCTGACGACAAGTAAGGACCTAGCGCACGCGTATGATTAAGTAAAAAAAATAAAAATGCAAACACTATTTTTTTAGATACACTTTAGATGTGGTTCCTAACTATCAATATCTTTGATTGAAACCTTATTGGTTTTCAATATTTGATCAAAGTTCCTAAAATTAATGTAATAAAGTATTTCTATGTCGGTTACTATATTTTTTAAATTAAAAATTGAAATTTATAGTTGTTTGTATTAATGAGATTTTAAACAAAAAAAAACCCATAATTTGTGGATTAAAATTATTAAAATATAAATTATACTCTCCAATATATTGTGTGAGTGTGTGCGCGCGTGTGTGTATAAACATGGGTACATTCATCAAAATTAAAAAAAAAAATTCATTGTACCAAAACATGGGTACATTCTTCAAAACCACACAAAAAATAATAGATATTAAGCTTAATAACATTAGTAAATTTCTTTGATTAAACTTGACATAGATACATTCTCAAATCAAGAAAAGGAATGTACCCATATAAGTTTAAAAATGGATTAAAAAAAAATTGAATAGATTTTATATATATATATATATATATATATATATATATATATATGTATAAGGGTACATTTTACTACAACAAATTGATATATTTAAGAAAAGGTACATTTTAAGATTAAAAAAATTGAAAAATTACATGAATTGGTACTTATAAGATTAAAAAATTGGAAACCTTTTTATAAAAAATTAAGGGGTGCAAACTTATTCTAATGTTTTTTTTTTTTTTTTTTTTTGGGAAATGTTTTGAATTGAAAATTATTTAGGAGTTTAATACAGGTGTGAGTATTAATGTCACATCCCGGCCCAGGACGGATCACTTTCCGGGCCTGCTCCACCACCGTAGCATGATATTGTCCACTTTGGGCTTACCATTCACTCACGGTTTTGTTTTTGGGAACTCATGAGCAACTTCCCAGTGGTTCACCCATCATGGGATTGCTCTAGCCCCCTTCTCGCTTAACTTTAGAGTTCCTACGGAACCCGAAGCCAGTGAGCTCCCAAAAAGCCTCGTGCTAGGTAGGGATGGGAATATACATATAAGGATCACTCTACTGGGTGATGTGGGATGTCACAATCCACCCCCTTAGGGGCCCAACGTCCTCGTCGGCACACCACGGCCAGGGTTAGGCTCTGATACCAATTGTCACATCCAAACCCGGGCAAGACCACTTCTCAGGCCTGACTCCACCGTAGCACGATATTGTCCGCTTTGGGCCCCGACCACGCCCTCACGGTTTTGTTTCTGGAAACTCACACGAGAACTTCCCGATGGGTCACCCATTCTGGGAATGCTCTCGCGCACTACTCGCTTAACTTCGAAGTTCCGATGGAACCCAATGCCAGTGAGCTTCCAAAATGCCTCGTGCTAGGTAGGGATGTGAATATACATATAAGGATTACTCTCCTGGGCGATGTGGGATGTCACAATTAAAATCCTAAATCAATTATTATTTTTTATTTTAAAAATTATGTAACCGACATGTAAATTCATTATTGCATTAATGCTAGGGACTTTGATCAAAATTTGAAAACAAATAAGATTTCAATAAAAGAACATTAGTAACTAAGGACCAGATACTAATTTTTCTTTTTTTTTAATCATGTAGGAGTTAGAATTAATTCCAGTTTATCTACTTCTATCCATTGATTTTTTTTTTTTTGGGACAATTGAATATTAATCCTTTGATAAGATTGAAATTCAATTAAAACCTAATGTAAGATCAAATATTGTTTATAGTCCTTTGACTAGATATCCACATAAGCATTTATATTTAAATTCATAATTAATTGTTATTAGATACTTAAATTTGTTTTCTTCGTTCCCAAAATGCCCAAATATTTGACTTTTTTTTTTTTTTTGTCAAACTAAAATTTTGATTTATTTGATCCAGATTTTGCCATCATTGTTTGCTTCCTCTATTAATAAATGCACCTGAATGGAAAACCATAACAAAAAAAAATATTAATGAAACGTTAAGAAAAAAATGCAAAATACATAAAGTCTGTCATTATGCAAGTTGCAAAGTAAAGAGTATATACCAAACAATTATAAAATGATTGTACCTAAAAATGTGTACCAAAGTTTGTGTACCGAAGTATATGTACCGAAATATAGTACCTAAATATGTGTACTGAAATACAGTAAACATGTGTATCGAAATATATGTATCGAAGCATGCGTACCAAAATATATGTACTGAAACATATGTATCGAAATATTATACGAAGTATATGCACCAAAATGTATGTACATGTATAGTTCTCAAAAGTATAATGTAGCTTTACGAAAAAAGGCTTCTTGTTGAGATCACTATTGTTGTGAAAAATGGAAAAAAGGCTTGATATATTTAAGTATAACAATCACCAAATGGAAAGTTCCTGTCACGCCCCAATCCCGACATACGTCCAGGATCGACACATGACGCCATACGTACAAAGCATAATTCAAGATTCGAATTACGTAGTAATTTTTTGTATGCTTTTGGTTGCATTTAACTTCCTTGTTAGGCTGCCTACGTAACCTAAATAGGGATCAAGCCATTTGTAGTTCACCATTTCAATAAACTCCTATCACCACTGCAAGTCATTACTACATACATGTAAACATAGTAACCCTTATGAGATGTATAGACACATAGCTTCAGAATGTGAATTGTCAAATTGGTTTTGGTTTCAGTGTAGTAATGCATATAGATATGTATATTTATTAAGACACCCATTTTAACTTTCAAACAAAGAAAGTGATGTATAAACATGAAGCACTTAATCAAAACAGTAATCGCACCGAATTGAATTTGTCAGACTATTGATAGCTATACTAGCCCTAACCTTATGAACCAATATAATTTAAATACAATCACAATCAATTTCTATATGCATACCCCTTTCAAATTCTATATCAAAACATGGAGCCAATAGTACATATAAAAGCAATAATCTAACTATGGTTTGATAATAATTAGCTGGACTAATTGTAGCAAATAAAATAGCTTGTTTTCTTCAAAACCAATCTGATTGGATTGTAAAAATTGAGTGAGGAAGATGTGCATGTACTTTGATACACATGTAGATAAAACCACTTGCATATATTTTCTCTTTATAAGTAATTATGTATTCAGTATACAATCGTTTGGAAAACAACCAACTTCCCAAAGTGGACTAGTCGAAATACTTTGCCAAGCATAGTAATACAACAATATAGCTTTCTGCATAATACAAGTGACACACCCCGACCCAGAAAGTCCACTTGGACCCTGAATCGAGCTATGCTGGCCGACACCTGGAAGGTGACGAAGCCATAAAATGTGATAGTGTATAAAAAGTGAATGAATTTGAATCTAAAAGTGTCTAGATACCAGAGTGCGCTACGAGTGGGAGCGAACCCATTTCACACGCGATGTCAGAGCATAAGTAAGGTACAGTAGTGTAGGTAAGAATCATACCCTCAGAAATATCCATCAATACTAAGATTCGCCACATATTCTTGTCGATACAAACTCAGCAGCTAAAACCTGGAGGGCACCAAACAGAAGGTGTGAGTAAGCAATAAAACCAAGCTTCCCAAAGTTACTACCTCTCTAAAAGTAATGCCCCTAAATGTAAAACCCGTATCGTTTTCTATAAGACAGTACAACATATATACATATATCCAACGAATACTCAGAAATGACCAAAACCACGGTTTGCCCTCAAATCCACCATACATTAATAAGTAGGCCAAATGAACTAAATCAATACAAAGTGATATATCAGTCAGAGTCATCTAAAATGACATGTACAACTTATCCGTATCTCATCAATCATGGCTAGCATATAAGTCGGAGTCACCTATAGTAACATGTACGACTTATCCATCTCATCAATCATGGCTAGCATATAAGTCGGAGTCACCTATAGTGACCTATACGACTTATCCACATCTCATCAATCATGGCTAGCATATAAGTCGAAGTCACCTATAGTGACCTGTACGACTTATCCACATCTCATCAATCATGGCTAGCATATAAGTTAGAGTCACCTATAGTGACCTATACGACTTATCCATATCTCATCAATCATGGCTAGCATATAAGTCGGAGTCACCTATAGTGAACTGTACGACTTATCCATATCTCATCAATCCTGGCTAGCATATAGCTCAATAAGTATACCTGCACACGAGTCAGAACCACCTAAAGTGGTCTGTACGACAGGACTGGGTGTAAATAAATACGCTCGAGTGCTACGATCACGTGAAGACTGGGCGAATAATCGCGGGTCACCTACGAGTCGAAACCACCTAAAGTGGTCTGTACGACAGGACTGTGCACCTACCTTGGATCCAAGGTGAGCGTAAGGTGCGGGAGGTGAACATCACGTGAAGGACTGTGCCCTGGCCACGGGCGGAAGCACTAACACCGGGGTGCAGGTTTATGAGCTCTCAATGCATCTCAATATAACATGTGCAACTCATGGCAACCAGTACGACAGTATCGAAGTTGCCTAACTCATAACTGTAGTCATGCTATAACGCAATCGATTCAACTAGTACCATAAACTCACCTGAACTTACCTGGGTGTCTTGAGTTCACCTTTGCACTTGAAAGCATTCCCAATAATTATATGCAAGTAATATACATATGGATATATCATGATGCAATCTACTACTCAACCATGTTGTAGCATTTTCAATTATAAACAATATGGTGTGAAGTGTACAATCAGTAACGCCCTACTCCCAAACTACTTATTTTCAGGGATAATTATCCATGACAACCCAATTAACTCTAATTTAACTAACTAATTCACAAAACTAAAACTTGTCTTTACCAATTTCCTTCGCATTACTCAATTTCCCAAGCAAGGCATTTGTCTCAATATTTTATGGCTGCATCTAACGTCTCGTTAGACTGCCTACGTACCCTAAATAGGGATCAAGCCATTCGTAGTTCATATAGGTACTTCAAGCATTCACAATAATTATATGAAGGTAATATACCTAATCAATTTAAAAGTGTCGATAAAACTCTCAATAATATGCACAATAAAAAGGAAAAGATCCACTCAAGTGGAGTCCACGCTATACTTCTCTAGCGCACGCATCGAGGCGTCCTGAATGATCGGTCCCTGTGGCCAATTATCAAATCACATCTTAGAACTCTTATCCGTAGAATACGTAATTCAAATAAAACACAACCTCAA